AGTACCAGACATTCAGGTTGGGCTATTCAGAGAAAAAAATGTAACTTTCCAAAGACAATTGAGCATTTGGGCATCATTCTGCTCTTGATATACGCCATCAATCCTCAATATGTTACAATAGAAAATTAATACTTAGTCAATGATATTTTCAAAATCTCCTCCTACAATGTGTGCTGCTTTCACTGTTCTGCTCATTGTGTCAGGTGGAAAATCTTCTGACATAAAATCTTTCCTCTGGAAATGCTGATTCAACAAAGCCAGAACCAACTGATTTCCAATTTTTGAGGCAATGCTGACTGATGTCTTGCCAGTCACCAACCTACCCGTGCTAGAAACCACTCCCTAAAAGTTGAGCTCCTTGACTTCCCAGGTTCCCAACAACTTGTTTTGTGGTGTGTTCAGGGAGACAAGTCTTCCTGTGCTTCCCACCCTGCCAAACAGGAGCGGCAGCAGGATGCTGCTGAAGAGCTGACCTGCACTGTCTTGGAGTTCTCAGGCACACCATTTGGCTTGTTAGCTGCGTGGGTAGTAGCAGCCTGCACAGAGGTAAACTCTGAAACCCAGGGCACAGGAAGCTGCCTTGAGAGAGGTTTTAATGCCTGAGTAGCTGCAGATATTGAAAACCTGGATAATGCCAGTTTTGTGGCAGCTTGTTTGTGCGTGAGGTGCTGAGGGACTTAACTTGCTGCTGCTCCTCTGCTTCCCTGCTACCTGGCTATGTAGTGGGATGCCAGTGTCTGATAAAAGGTAGCGATGAAGTGTTTGGACAATCTGCTCTTAAAACCAAACCTCATGTTTATGTCTTACATATGGTCTGTACTGAAAGCTAAAAGCAAATCAGACGTTACAAATCTGATTATAGGCATGCCTTGTGAATCAGTTTTATGAGACTAGAGCTATATACTGCTATAACAGGTGAAAATTTTGTGAGCAGTGAGAAATTCACTTCAGCCAGAAAAAACTTTTTACGGATGACAATGCAATTACAAGCACAGGGAAGTCCTTGGAGCAGGTATTGACTACATCTGCAAGAGGTCGCAGGCAACATGAAAAGCGTAAGTGATCTCAGCCATAGCTGTGTCTGCACTATGGCTAGATGAAAAGTTTTGAAGAAAAGCAGGGCACGAAGTATGACAATCTTGGACAAAAGGAAAAGAGTATGAGAAGCCCGCTGTGCCTATTTCTGAAAGCCAGTGTGCAGGACACAGGGTGCTATTATTAGGTAGATATCTCAGCTGCAAGTGTTATTTTAAAGGTCAGTATAACTAGACATTAGGCATCCAGGGTAAAGCTCTTCCAACAAGAATTAATTAACTGGGCTTCAGAGCTGGTGACTGAGTGCCCTTTAAGCAGTATATTCCAAACAACTCAATTGTCAGTGTCTAAGAAATTCCAAAGCAAGCCCTAGGTGTCAGCTTGTTTTAGGTGCCCAGCTCCTGGGTTAATTGGTTCCTGGTGCTCTCAGGCAGCCCAGGTAGCCTTGCAGCTTAGGGTGCAAGCCATTGTCATTCACTGCAGGTATTTCTAGCAAGCTAAAAAGTTCCACATCTGTCGTTAAAATATCAGGAAACCCTATGGAAGACAATGTGTGAGCTGACTTTTTGTTCAGATTTGTAATTAAAAAAAAAAAAAAACAAAAAATCTAACTAAATCTAACTAAAACACAGACTTCTTAACAATAAAGATGTGCATTTTCCATTTATTTTCCATTCTATTGTCCATCACTTCAGAAAGTTACATCAATACTCAAGGCAATACTCTACATGTTTGTGATAAATCCTTTAAAAATGAAGCTTATAGGGAAATCTAAAGTGCATATATTCACAGAGTACATTTTACAATTTCACTAAGTTTTAGTGCTTTCTTGTTGCAAAACAAGACAGTGATTAGATAAGGGACATCATCTACAGCTTCTGCCCCCAAATGGATACATCTTGAATAAAAAGCTTAGCATCATTCATTATTTGTCAATGTAAGTCAAGACCCCAAGGCCAACCACTCCTGGGGAGGCTAATCCAAAGCCAAAGAGAGAATACATAATATTAGCTTCTGCTTGATTTTTCACAAAGCTTTTTGTAGTGTGTAGTGAGCAGAAACCCACAGAGCTTTCACAAACTCATAAAATAGAAGGAGATACAATTTGAGAAGCAGAGTGGGACATGATGAGACCTGAGCTTGGGAGCCATTCCACAATCTGCAGAGACATAACTGTCTAGCAAATATAAGTTACTTGCCAAGTTTTTGTTTAACATCTCTTAAAAGAACCGTTCCCAGTGACAAGCATGTGCTCTTTCTCTCTCTCTCCGTATATGCATACGTACAAATAAAACTCTGGCAGACTCTTCTCAGCAGAGGAGAGTCAGTAGGTTCAGAAACCTACCGAAGTGGCGGTATAAATACGATTTATATAGCCTGTAATAACAAAATAGTATTAAACTTAACATGAGTACATTAACTGCTAATTTCCTACAATTCAATTAATAAAAAAAAAATTAATTTCAACATGACATTGAGTAGGGTAAATGTTGTTGGCTGCATATGCATACTTCATATCTTTTCACTGTTTCTGACCTATAGTTCACAAGAAAACTTGGGAGCAAACATCCTGTTCCTCATCATAGGTCAGCATTTTTCACAATGATCCATGCTTTCCTTCTCCCCTGCCTCCTGGGTGATTGCATTAATACATAAAATACATCTTGATTTTCTGACAATTCCAGTACTTACCTCTGTCTTCTTCCACCTTTCTACTTGACTTCTTCTCAGTCACAAATGAATCACATTGTATTGTTTTTATATTCAATAATGTGGCATGAATGTCACTTCCAACATGTTTTCAAAGGTGTTTGGAAACTCTTTTACCCTGTTGTCTTTTAGTTAGAATCAAAAATAAAAAAATTTCCAGGAAACATTTCTGAAAGTTACATCAGTTTCTGTTCTCATGGACAAAGGCAAGGTATTTCAAAGTTTATCACTGGGGAAGAGGAGACAATTACACTTTAAGGTTGCTTACAACTAATGGATAAATCATCAAAACACACCTTCAATGTATTGAGGAGGTTTAAGTATGATTGAACGGACAACTGGCTTTTTCAGAAGTTCAATGCTCTTCACAATCAACCAGACACCTTAATTATGTACTGGCTACAAGTCTAATGAAATGCCATGGTGTTATGTACATAAATACTACATATATGAAATATTTTTTAACAAAAATCAGTCCTCAGAATATTGTTGTAATACAGAGGGTGAATTCATAGTCCAACACTTACAGAAACACAGAAAAGCCCTTCTATTGGCCTTAAATTTGGAAGTGGTTCCTGCATTCAGCTAATGACTGAATTTAGCTTATAAATTTAATTACTGCTTTAGAACTTGGTGTTGAAAACAGTTAAATAAAACAAGCCATTAGCAATATAAAAACTCCAATTGCATTGGTTTATATGCATTTATGTGTGAAGATTTAAAAGAATTTAAAAGAATTATTAATTGATCCTCTGCCCTTTCAAGACTTTTATTTATTCCAATTAGTTTCTTTTTCCCATTATGTCCCCTTCAAAGACATTATCAAATAACTATGCTCAGATATTCACTTCATGATATGAATGCTGCTTACACAGTACAGTTGGGAGCAGGATTCAGTCCAGTACTTTTAAGACTGAAGGAGAAAAGCCTCTTCCTATGTGTTCAGCATTTTTTTGCTAAATGTAGATTTCATCTGGATACTACATAATACCTGGTGCTGAGCATTATTGTGCAGCAAACATCACAAAGGGTAGTGTGGTTAGGGGGAACAATCAAGCTGGGTACAGGGAGTGAAGGAATTGTACTCATGTATACTTGTTTAAATTTTGCTCACAGGACAAATCCAGGCTAACATTCATAATCAAGCTGAATAAATTATTTTGCTGGGTCTTCTGAGCACTGAGGACAAGTCTTTCTGGGAGCAGCAAGGGCTGAATTTGTCTATCTTTATGGGGTTTGGAGTTTTGGTTTGGGGTTTTTTTTATGCAATCATACAGCTAATAGATAGTTTTTTATAAACATTGAAGCTACATTGAAAAAAGAAATTAACATTATTTTAGTTCAGAGAGAAACTTTTAACCTAGATCAAAATGTTTTTGTTACTTCATTATACCACTAAAAGGAAATTAGACCTTAACATTGGCTCATTTTCAACACTTTAAAGTCTATTGTTATAATAAAGAAGAAACAATAACGAAGCAAGGAGCCTCTGTTAATATGACAACTTGACTAATTTAGGCAACATGATTTCAATATAATGATCCAAGAGATATTTTTCAAAATAGGAGATCTGCCAATTTTCAGTAACAAGGTGAATTAAGTGTGTTCATCTTTCATAAATTTTCTAAAACCATTTAATCATAAGTTAAATGTGTTATTTTAATTTTTTTCCTGTATAAAAATCTTTACAGGAAATCCTGCTTCACCAGCTAAAAGTGGTATAAATTTCATAGTTTGTTATGCTTTAATTGCCCAGTCTGAGCCACTTCTTTACTCTTGGCTTTCTACTAACACCCACAGTTTACAGAATATAATTGTTTGAATTACAGCAGTGTAAAACAGCCACTGACTCCATTTATCATGAGAGAACAGTACAGTGAGCACAAATGTAATCAACATTTCCATCAAGAGGAAAAACATTTGGACAGTAGAAGAAAAAGAGAATGAATACTGACCAGAAAGTCTGTTTCTAAGAAAAATGTAGGTCTTACCCTCACAAAAATCATTAAGAAAAGCAGTCTTCAAATCTCATACTCTGTCAAAACCAGACTTCAGTGATGCCAGGCACTTAAAACACTTTATCAGTCTAACTTGAACAGATACTTTGATATGGCTAGCTATAGTTCTAAAACACATTTTATGTACATTTTTGCATAGAGGTTATGATATGCGTGAATCTTTAAAATATGTGACTTTATTCTCCCTTATATCTACACCCAACACTTAATCTTGTTTCTCAGTTTGACATGCTACAGATTTAAGCTGGTGCCTTTTCTTTGGCTCCTGCTTGCTTGACACAACCAGAAAGAAAGTACTCACAAGAGTGTTCTGCGTGAGGAAAGAGATCAGTGGTGACAAAAAATTATCTAGAGCTGCAATAGTAAAAGTAAATTTCAGTTTTGTAGAAAACAGCCAAATAATTTCCTCATCGTTCATCACCTTGCTACCTTAAAAAGGATTTCAGACATGATAAGGAGCTAAAATTTCCTAATTGGTAAGTATATTTTAGCACTTATTAAAACTATAACACAAAGCATGGCCTGCTTCTCAATATAACCTGGTTTGCTTCTTAACAGAGCCAAGACCCTCTGAAGACAAATTGGCCAACCTGATGTGACGTGCCTTAGAAAAACCATTTAAAAGGTTACAATTTCCACAGTCACCCTTGTGACATATGTTAATCTTCTCTACTCCATACTATGAGATAATGGAGTAGTCTTCTTTTACAAGGATATAAAAATAGCACAGAGATAACAAGGGCCAAACACGTTATGACTGATACATTACAGAATTCATCTTGAACTGTACTGTTTTTGTTACAAGCCACTCGGATTTGTTTTCACCTTCAACTTATGGTTTCTGGTTTTTTGAATGCCACTTGTCTTAGACCAGTCTTTAAAAGCAGGAGAAGATTTTGGCCTTGTCTATTTCTCTTCCTAGACAATTTTCTATATCTGTGGAAAACTTCAATATATCCTACAGAATAAGCTGACATTGCAGGAGCTAAATCAAAAAGGATTTGTGTACTTCACCTTATTAACCACCAAATGTCTTTATTTTCTCTCAGGTAACTACATCAGCCCAAAATATCTTGTGGCTTAAATAAGGACAGAATGTTGCAACGATATTTCAATTTGAAACTCGTGCCCATGTATCTGATTTGGAAATAGGAATGTGAATCTAGACTAGACATTTAATACTAAAACTAAACTTTTTTAACCTTAAAGCTGGGCTAAAAAAAAATCAAATGAAAAATGTTTTGATGAAATAAACCCAGAAAAATTAGAAGCAACCCTGGGGGTCTTTGTAACCATGCTAGATGTCTTTTCATAAGATTCGTGGAAGCAGCAGTTGGAAATTTCAAGAGAGAAGAACAAATAAAGTAAAATTTTCTATATATGTGAAAATTCTTGTGGGAATAAACATTCACGCTCATTCACAGAAAAAAATAAGGAAAAACATGTTTATACAGATGTATGCAAAATTCTTTTGTGCAAAAAGACATTTAGAGACAGTTACAGATCATAAAAAAAATTTTTCAAACTTGACACCATATTAGAGAATTTACTCATTCTCCCTTGTTTCCTCTTCTTAGCTCAAGAGAAGACAATTTCAAAGAGGTTGCTGGTTCAAGGACAGCAACCGTTGTTAGAATACATGTTCTCTTGGTAAACCTTGTTTTCCACTACTCTAAATCTGTTGTTTTGACCAACAATGCTTAATCTAGCAATGCTTACTGTCAGTAGAAGATAACCCTTAATTTTTATGAAACATTCTTTTTCCATCTTCTAGATGCTGTACCACATGATCATATAGCTTAAAAAAATGCATCCCTTATATATTCAGCACAAAAGCATTATGTTTAAATCATTTATGTTCAGTCTAGCACACAAATGCCCCTGAAGTCATATGACATGAGACCTTTAACAGCCTTGTCTGTAAAGACTGATGGTAGTTACAGTCTGGAATTGATGATACCAGGTCCTTGAAATAGCACAGCCTCCAATAGTTGGAGCAGAAGTTCCAGTCCCCTAAAACTCAGATAGTCATCACATTAGTTAAGAAGACACAGGCAAGAAAGCAAAAATGTGCTTTACCTCCACCATTTTATGACATTAGGTTTTAGAAAGAAATGCAAATAGGTAATTTTAAAAATGTACAATGCTTTTACCTGTAGCATTTTCAATGTATACCTACTTCAGTGAATGCTGGTATCCAGTTCCTTCTTTAAAAGGAGCCATCTTGCTTTTAAAAAAGGTATTATATGCTCATCTTAACCTGGATATAATCAGTCATTACTGTAGAAGGATGGCAAGGGCTGATAAAGGGATGATAATGATTCTTTATTTCTGCACAGCTTCCCATATTACCCATAGGAAGGCCTTAGGCTGTCAAGAATCAGGAGTTACTGGATTGGAGTTTCTGCAACAGTTCCCAGTAATAATCTTTAGAAAGGTTCAACTTTGCATGTGAGAACAAGTTTATCCATTGTTGTTCATCATAGACTATGAGTTTTTTAAATTATAACTTAACAATAATCAAATAACGGTAGATAAAAATGTGCAACATTGGAAAAAAAACAAAAAACAAAACAAAACAAAAAACTCCAAAACAAACAAAAATCCAACCCCCCCCCAAAAAAACAAACCAGCTGTTGAAAGTGATATTATATCTTAAAATCCTTACTTATCAGAAAGATTTTTTTTCAAGGGAGAGAAGATCAGTTTCATAACAATAAATTAGTGTTTTTGTGTATGTAACATCTGGCTCAAAATTATGGATTTACAACTATAAGTAATATTACAAGTTTGGTGCATGGATGGAATTATTATGGTCATCTAAAAGCACACAAACGCGTCTCTAAGAAATGTGGCACTTATGGATATTTCATTGCTGAAGTGAAAAGTTATTTCTTGTGAGTGAAGGGAAGAACATGAACATAATGAGAAAAAAATCAATAGTCAGCAGAATTATTTAAAGTAACTGAGTAAGTAGCTTTTATTTTATAAAGGGTATTTTTAAAAGTCTAATTCAATTTGAAGGTTTTAACTGAACAGCAGGTCAAGAATTTTACTGTGATTACTTACAGTATATTGCTACAAAGTCAATAATCTTTAGTACTGACACCTATTATACTCGAGCAAAGAAAAAGCTACCTTTCTCCATCAGTAGTTCTTACTATAATCTATATTATTTCTTTTCAAAAAGGTTTAGTAATTAAAAATATATATATTTATAAAGAAATGTCAGAAATCTGGTGCCATTACAGAATGTTTTACAGTGTTTAAGAGAGTGTCAGCACTTACTTTATAAACCCTTGCCTTCAAAGGTTTATGGTTAAGCCATAAAAATCAGTCCATTGTATAACTCCACTTATTAACTCTCATTTTAGAAGTCTGTTCCCCCACCCTGCTCTTTCCCTCTCACTAAATAGCCAGAATTTCTTTCTATGCCCCTTACAAATTTATTTACAGAAATACTCTTTTATGAGTGATTTTCTTCCAGTTACTTCCCTTCACAATTACACAGCATGACTTTTTAAATATAATGTAACAAACCCTTTAATATAAATGTAAGATGATCTCTCAGCTTTCAAAGACATAGATTATTAATAACTGAGTAACTCTAACACATTTAATCCACAAGTCCTGAGCTTCTATTTTAGCTCACCTCCTTCATTATTGAGTAAAAAGTCCCTTAATTGTTGCTTCTCTTTGTTGTCGCTGCAAGTTTCAGTAGCATTCTCACCTGATTCTCTATCAGTCTGCCAGCACATGTATAAAGCTGTGAAACAGAACTACATTTTCATGAAATATTTGCAGAAAAAACACATCTTGGTTCTTGCCTTGTTTCTATGTCTCTGTGATACAGACACAGGCCATAAAACTAGCCTAACATATTCTTAGAAGACTGGTGTTCCAGTAGCACCAGCATGTCTAGTAAGAGTGATCCACTCTATATTGTGAAGAAATTTCATTAGATTTCATATTTGATCAGAAATTCTTAACATTTCAATTCCTCAGCAGCAAGCTGCAAGCCACCATAGTGGATGGCTGCCAGCCATAGCTACAATAATCTCCCACATATATATTCCTGCACATGTAGGATCCCAATCCTACACTACTGTCAAGCACTCAGGTTCTCATTATCCAGAACTCCCCAGCAGCCCTCTCTGACTACTCTACCACAATCAGCACTGAAAACAAGAGACTGACCTGATTGTTGCTGGCTCAGTTGGGAACAGCCCTATGGACTAGCAATGGTAAAATGACTACAACCCCCACACTTCACAGAAGATCTGCAAAAGATTCACTTGTCAGCAGCGGTCCATTCTAATCTTCTGAAGGAAGAAAACCAAAGTGAATAGCCCTGAAATACAGAAAAAGCTGCCTGAGGTGGAGTTGGTGAGGCAGGGGTGGAAGAGTGAAAGGAGAAAAATGTCCTGGTATAAGTAGATCTCATGAAAGACAGCTGCTCATCTGGTAACCCTTGTCCACCTTGTGCGGGCTCTAGATGAGTCAAGCTTTCTCATATCTGCTGCTGGGTGAGAGCTACAGAGAGACCCTGTGGGTCTAAAGCAGGACATGGCTGAGCTTTATGGTGCATTTATTCCCGTTGCTGCATTCCTGAGTGATTTAACAGAGCAGTGGTTCTTCCTCAAGGAGTATGTTGATGTAAAGTAATACAAAGGATTGTACTGAAATTTGACTGTCAAACACAAAGATAAACTCACTGACATTCCCAGAAATAAAGCAGAGTTCTGTTGTCCCTTTATGTCTGAAGAGAAGGGAAACCACATTTCCACACAGTGAAACTTTCTGTTTTCATTCTTCCTTATATATCTATCTATTTCTTGCTCTCATCCATTGTGTTGCCCCAGCTTTCTCCCCTGAGACAGGATGCTTTCAGCTGGCCTGTTGAACCTAGTTCTTTTCTTAAGAAAGTGATGACTGAAAGCAACTAAAATTAGGCTGTCTATTTAGTTGTTTATGATATATTGATACTCTCCTCGATTACATTCTCTTAGGAAAGAGAGATTCATATGTCTATATATGTCTCAATCTTTCTAAATAGCTATCTGGGGAACTGACATAAAATCAAATAGGTTGATTGCTCTTAGTTTCTCTATCATTTTCTCTTCATGTAGTCCATGCAGAGTTTAAACTCCTCTGGGAAGGTATCAGATTTGTATATAGTATTTCTAATAGCATACATATTTCTCAGTGAAAGAAAAACAAAAAACACAAAAAACAAACAACCAAGATATTCTAGACTTGCATTGTTTTTCACTTAGTGCGATCTAGAGAATCTGCACACCTTAGATTGTTTTTGCTCAAGTACCACTAAGTTTCAGAGTAACCTTCAGTAAATCACCCCACTCCTTTTTCCCTTAATTTATGAAATGGTAATAGAAATATTCCATAAACTGAAAAGGACTTTAAGTCATACATGTGATCATTATCATCTAAATAACTTAAAATTCAGTCATTCCTGTCACAGAAATACATGCATCCCAAAACAAACGAACAAACAAACAAAGCAAAACAAACCGCAACCAAACAACCAAAAAACCCAAACTGCTTATGGCCTTTTTTAAGGCCTTTTCTCAGTAAGTGAAAGACACCAGTCCATCAGTCTTTATCATGTGGAACAAGGGAACACAGTTTCATTAACAAAACATCATCAAATGGTAGGGGAGGAATCCAAAGAAAGGTACTTGTTTCAGAAAACTTTGAATGAGGGTATGTATTTCCATTAAAGTCCTTACCAGGTAATAAGAGAGGGTTTCTATTTGTTTATAGAGTAAGGATACTTGATATTCAATTGTATCCTCCACTCTGTGACATTAAATTACTGAGTGAAACTGCTCAGCTATAGCTGCAAGGTTATATTCTTTCTAAGAGCACAAGAAACCTGAACCTGTGCCTTTCCACTAACAGATCTGTACAGTGATTATATCACAACTGAAAAAAAGGAAAGTCAAAATTGAAGCTGATGCTAAATTTTCATATCAACACACTGAACAATCAGATTTCAGGATGAAATGCAAGCAAAAATATTCTCTATTAGTTTTCTTATCAAGTTTAAGGTTCAAAGGTAGTTTTACCTCGAGACAATCTCCACTCTTTAGAAATGTTAACATTGGAATCAGCATTTCTGGAACATTTATTAATGGCAGCTACTTTTCTAAAAATAATGCTATCTGTACTCTAGCAAAACAAGAACTTGTTAATCATAGAGTCGAAGTACACATCAGCTGGCTGGAATACAACAGAGCTTACAAAACAACAGTTTAATTTTTGAAATATTTTCCTAATTGCAGGGAGTAGTAAAGCAACAAAGGAATCAAATTTCACAGCTAAAATTTTACTGCATTAATATCAACGACATTTTTCTTTTATCAAGTCAACAACCAAAAGAAGCTGGTTCTGTTCTGAGCCATCTGCTTTATTGTATTTAAAATTACGCATAATGATTATACGAACTTGAACATTTAACGTTTCTGGCTACTCTAAGAGAAAAATGCAATTTCATAGCCCAGCTTTTCATTTATAGTTTGGCTTATGCACTCACAAAGGAGAGAACAGTTGCTCTGTAGCAGTTGCTCAAGTCCCCACTCATTAAGTTAGTCAAGATTTTTGAGAATTACATAGAAGTCTTTCAGGATTGCTTCAGCCTACACTGAATTACCAATAGCAACAAATGAAAGCAGCCACAAATTAGATCATTTTGCCTCCTTTGCCAGGGAAATGACTCAGGATCAGTGCTCAGTCCAATCAGATAAAATAAATTTGTGGTAACCCTCATTAGGGACTTAGTGTATGCAAGAGAAATCATTGCTTTGAAGTCTAACCAAGCCCAAATGTCAGAAAACACTATCAGGCATTATATGTGAGTCCTCCTTGTCTTCATTTTCTTGATTTCCATTTTTCTTTGTTTTCTTCTCATCTTCCCACTCTAAATATTATCAAAAGCAACAAGAGAAGGTAGCTGAATAGATGACATGGTCAAAAGAAACCTATTCAAGTGCATTGGCAGGAATAATGTAGGTAAAGTAATTACTAACCACTTTATTCTTAATTTTTAATTACAGTAACCCTAGAAGTACAGCAAATCAAAAAACTTTTTTTTAATTGAAATGTTTCTGTGAACATCTTTGGTTTTAAAATTTACTTTGATTAGTGTAGTTAAATTCATGATTGGTTAGGTGTCCTAATATTTCTTTGGATCTCACCAAAGCTATCCTTACTTTTAATTCCATGATGACTTTGATGAAGTATTACTGCAGATTAATAAATTTAATGTGAATGAATGAAATGAGCCACAGCACAAGGAGTTTCACTGTATGGATGTACTGCTAATCGGTAACTTACTTAATCACTGCTTTGACAAACTTTGTTGGTGAGTCAAAAGTAGGCAGAAGGAACATCAATAAAA